AGCCCTGCACTCCTGGCTCTCACCTTTTGAGTTATCTGATGCATAGAACAGTCTATGGAGAATAAGTGATGGCAGAGAAAAGACAGAAAAAAGCAACTGTGTACCAGCAGTGATTTTTGGTTTTCTTACACTTGAGCAAGCGGGAAACAACAGTACTGCTTCACAACTACTGGACCCTTTTAGGTCAGTCTGTCAATCCAATGGTTTTCTACTCCAATAAACATCTAGATTAAAAACAAAGAGCAGTGAAAGCCAACACGTGAGCTGCCAGGATAAAAGCAGACACCATCCTTACAGCAAGAGAAACAAAAGACAGAGTCCAAACTGCAGCAGTGCCCACCAGAGCTTCCACAACCAGCCCTGCTGCCAAACAAAGCAGCTACGTTTCCATTCTTAGCATCTCGCTCCACTGCAGAGAAATGCCAAGTGCCAACTGCTGACAGACTGCACAGGCTCACAGGTCTGTCAGTGTATGCTGTAGGTAGCTCCATCAGCCCTACTCAAACAACACGTTGCACAGAGAAGCTTTGGTTGCAGACATTTTAAAACACACGTCTCTAAAATGATAAGGAGAATTCCTAAAGTGCCTACGTCTCTTCAAAGCACGCTCCATCCATCCGTCACCCAGACACATAAGGGTCCTGCTCAGTGCCAAGCCTCTGCCAACACCTCTGCATGTCACAACAACGAGGCAGCCTAGCCAACAGCAAAAGGGCCAGAAGCTAACAGGTAGTGCCTGGCACGCACAAAAGACCTGCAGGAGACAGCAACAGGAGCTGGTTTAAAGGAGAAGTTAGAAAAATATATCATTACGTGGGTCAAGTCGTCTTAGGGCAGCGGGGTTGGGGGCTGTGCCACAAAATAAAGTGGAAAAATAGATCCAAGAAAATAGAGAAGAGCCTTACATTTTATATTTAGATCTTAAATACAAAATACACGGTTAACTAGGTCTGCTCTCCTGTCCTCTGATGTGCAATGCTTCCAGCACTGGGCCACTGCAGTCTGCGTGCATACATGCACACATGTACCTGCAGAGATGCGCACACACTTGTGCTTCCTGTGTCTAAGAGTCACAAAGCCTTTCACTAGCACCATTTAAAAAGCTCCATCATTAAAAACAAATCAAAAACAACATCCACGTGCATCTGGCAGAGGTCCATTTAAAAAACAGAAAACAATAAGGGTACAGATCAGCATCTGTTATTTGTAGTGCACTGGCACGGACAAATATTTACATGCTCAACTCAATGGTACTGAATACTGAACATTAAGACGGAACAGGAAGAGAAAAAAGGAGCTCCAAGTGCAAACTTCGGGCTCACCAATAACAAAAACACAAAGATTTCTGCCAGAAGTGTTCCTTTCACCTCAGAAAGATCTGCCAGTGATACCCAGAGCATCGCTTCTCATCTACCCACATTGCCACAACAAAGAGCAGGGTACTAAAGAAACACACAGTCATTTGGACGTAGAAGCAACAAAATCAAGCTAGATAATTTATCACGTATCCCGGAGTGGTCCTTGGCTGTAACACGAGAACAAATGACTTAGGCTGCATGCCACAAACACCACGAACAATTCACTTCAGGTCCCCGTCCCCTTCTCCTTGAATCGACTTCTTGATGCGAAGCAACATGGTGGTGAGCCACTGATCCAACCGCGAGATGGAATCGAATTCCTTCACCTATTAAAGGCAAAGAGAAAAGCAGTCAGAAAGCAGCTGCAAAACAAGCACTGTGCCTCTTGAGGTGTAATCTTTTAAACCTTCAGCTCTTCCAGAGGCAGAAAAGGCCTCTGTTAGAGAGAGAAAAAGGGAGGCTGCCTCCAAGAGCCCCAGGCAGAAATGCGGGCTGGCGGTACTTACTGCCTCGGTGTACGCCTCCGAGTTCTGCTCCTCGTGGGCTTCCAGCAGTTTCTAGGAGAACACCGTTACAAATCAGACAATACTGCGAGTCCCTCCATGAGGGGGGACCTTTGCCACCCACCAGCAACCCCCCACCACAAACACAAACCCAGATTTGTTCAAGTGAACCGCAATTATCATCATCTTGCTGCTGCTACTCCCACCCGCTTGGTCCGAAGCCAACGCAGAGCGAGTCTGATGTCCCTTAAGGCGTTTTGAGAAGAAGGCCAAACCCGTGGCAAGGCGAAAAAGCACAAAGCAAAGGGCAGTTTGCATTGCTAAATGTGAGCGTGTTATTTTAATACTGGCTTCACTTACTTTCAATAGCTTGCATTCCCGTGAATCTGTGAATGCTGGGAACATTTCTTCATATTTCTCAAGCGCGAGCTGAAAGAGACACACACCCTCAAGCTCTTTTCACACAAAACTCCTCACTTTTTATTTCAGTTTTTTTCTCGTCCTAAAACCATGCAGAAAACTCAAGAAAACATTCACAGCAAATTCATAAGCACAGGGAAATGAACAGGCAGGGGCAGATCTGGCCTCAAAAGATCTGGCCTCAGAGCCAGCCGTGGCTCAAGATATAACTCAGCAAGAACCAAGCAGACACAGCCAGAGCACAGGCAGGGCAGGAAGCAGAAAACTCTGCATAGGACACTGCAGTAGCACGTGCCCTGATTTACCCTGAGCATCACTCTGGATGTGCTGCAGCTCACCCTTTGTTCTGCTTACACTGGAGTCTCGTGGTGATGCAGCCATCAGCGGGTGACAGCACCAGCTACAAGCCCCCATAACAGCTACCAGAGCCCTGTGCCTGCAAAAACACCTCCCTGCTGGCAAGGGTTGGTCAGCATGGCTGGAGGAGGTTGGGGCAACCACTCTGAGCTCACTGACCTTAGCGTTCAGCTCATCCACAATGAAGTGACACAGAGCAGCTTTGAAGAAATACTCCTTTGCGCTGTACTTCAGCAAAGGATTATCCATCGTGTTTGTTCCAACCTAGGCGTAAAAAGGAATTACTGGAGTTGGGAAAGGAATCTGCATCATTAGGAACTGAATTAAAAGCACGACACCTGATTAAAACTACACACAGCACCACTCAAGCGTCTGCAGATAAAGGCTGTGACAACTGCCAGTGTCTGTGCAAATAGTTATGGGGCAGCCAGACAGTTTTATTGGAGAGAAACCAAAGAGGAAAACCCATCCCCTCCTCAGATTTCTGTAACTGAGGCCCACCAGGGCAACCCAGCAACCATCCTGGTGCCAGCCCAGGCGGCGGTGCCTGCAGGCATAGAAGGACAGGCCCCTGCCTCACCTGCTCATAGATTTCTATTGCCTTCTGGTACTGCTCCAGCTGTGCGGCGTAGGCAGCCACCTTCAGCAGACATTTGTTGGCTGAGCTGCAATCCAAACCAGGAAGTGAGTGATGGGGGAGAACATCCATGCCACCTGCAAGCATCCCCTCCCCACTTGCTGCATAGAACAGTGGGACCCACGAGCTACTAACACCCAGGGAAAAGCACGGAGACGTGCAGCCCGACCAGGTGTCAGATATCGCTCATCTCTCTGTGCTTTCTGTGCATCCCAACCCAGACAAGTCTGCTTGCAGCATAAGAACCCTGCACAGGAATCTGAGCATTCTTTAGAAACCCAACTGGCATGACGCACGGGCACCTGCTAAGCTTAAAATAATCACGTAGGATTTGGGCATCCTACCAAAGGATGTTTTAGAAGAGCCTGCTGGGCGAGGAGTGTGAGCACGTATGCAATCTAGGGCAAGTTCCCATTTCTAATCCCTCCCTGCTGGAAGGGACCACATCCCAAAGCCCACTTGCCTGTTGGACTCTTCTCCTTTGTAATAATCCGCAGCCTGCTCATAGTGCGCGATCGCCTGGGGACAGAAATGTTACACTTGAGCACTGCTTCTGAAGAGGGGGGTTTGGCTTAGATCAGTGCACAGAGACCACATTCAGAAAAGCTTTTATGCTCTGCGGATGAAAGGAGTGAGATGACGGCACGCTGCGGAGCTGTGGGTCAAGAGGGGCACCCAGCAAACTCCAAACGCAACGCTGCCCTTTTTTTTGCACGCATAACAACCCCAAACTCCAGAGCATGTTTCATAAAGGTGACGCTGTTGCTGTGGGATCTCAGTGCCCCACAGAGCAGCAAACGCAGGGCCCACACCCTCACCTTCTCGATGTCAACCAGCTCGGCCTCATAGATCTCCGCGATGGTGATGTGGTGCTTGGCCGCGATGGTGAACCGCCCCTGGGGAGGACAGAGGTCTGTGAGAGGAGGTCTCCCCACCTGGCACACAGTCATAACGTGGGCACAGCGGCCGTGCCTTGGACACACAGCTCAGCCGCGTGCCCCGCCGGTGGCGCAGCCTCTTACCATGTCGGTGTAGATATCGATAGCTGCATTTAAGCAGTTGATGGCCTCTGCAGCATGTGTGTTCAGAAAAACAACACAAAGTCAGCTGGCGCCACAGCGCCCACTTCAAGACCTCCCCCCCAAAAAAACTGACAGATGTGGAACAGCTGAGAGCACATCCGGATGTCCATGGGGCTGAAGACCCCAGGCCCGTAGCTTCTGGGGAATCTCACCCACTGAGCCCACCTCTACCTTCCCACAAAAGCCCCAACACCAAGTGGTGACACAGCCATCAGGACGAGCCACGTCCAAGCAAAGGAAAGCATTTCTCTCGTGTCGAGAAGCAGCACGAGGAAGAAATGCCAGTAATCCCCAGCAGGCTGCAGGGAGGCTCTCCGGGCACACGGACCAGCTGACTCCGAAAGCCCCGGCGCTGCGCTCCTACGCCGCTAAGAAGATTTGCACAAAACAATCCCGGATTTTGTCCCCCATACCTTGCGGGTCTGCTTTTTTGTAGGCGTTCCCAGCATCCACAAAGCTGGTGGCCGAGTCGTGCTTGCTCTGCAGTTGCATATGCAGCTTGGCCGCCTGGCAGAAGGCGTTCCCTGCAGCTGGAACAGAAGCACAGCACCGAGTGTACCCCACAGAGAGAGCAGAACTGCAGGGAAACAGGCAACCACCCGGCGCTCCCCAGCACCAGGAAAGCTTTAGAGGTGCAACAGCCCCAAAGGTATTTCCGACCCAGGTCAGCACAGCGATGCTGGGCTCCGTGCAAACCTCCTCCCATAAATGCAGCACCCTGCGGGCTGCTATAGCTCCAGTTTAGCTTGGTAAGCTGTCCCCAGATGGGCCCATTTAACAGCACAAATATTCAGCCGCACTCACCGCTCCAATTTTTGGCAATCTTGAACATGTTTGCAGCCCTGGTGTACATCTCACAGGCCTCCTCCACTCTGGTGTTACCCCTGGACGAGAGCAGGAGAGTGCATGAAGCCACATCTCCCTTTTTGCTGGCGGGTTTCAGTGCCCCGACAGCGCTGCTCACAGCACCCTGCGGGCACCGCGGCTCCCAGGGCTCCGCTCCCCGCTCCGTGCCAGCAATTATTCAGCAAAACACAGACGGGCTTTGCCATGCGGCCACATCCACAGCTCGCCAGCGTGCCCTCTCCCACCGAGCCGCCAACCCCCGCTCTGCCTATGGGGCGGGGGTGTCATCCGGGCCGCGCAATCCCCTTTATGCGACCCCACTGCACGTCGCGCACCCCACTTTTGCAATTTTCCCCTTTTTGCAACCCTTCCCCATCGCATCTCCCTTTTGCAACCCCTCCGCGCACCGCACCATCCATGCATTAATTTGCAACCCCTTTTTCTTTGTGCAACCTCCTCCTGACCCCCCAGTTCGCTCACCCGAAGAGCCCCCGCAGGAAGGAATGCGAGCCCTTCACCCGCTTCTCGGCTTCGGCCATCAGCTGCACGGCCTCCCGCTCCTTCCCCGAGCTGTCCATCGCGGCAGCGCTCGGCCAGGCCCGGAGCCGCCTCCTCTTCCTCCTCCTCCTCCTCCTCTTCCTCCTCCGGGAGCGCGCACAGAGGCGGGGCGCGGCGCGTACTGCACGATGCGCGCACGCAGCGCACGGCCGCGGGCTGCACAAGGCGCGCCGCAGGTGATGCGCAGAAGGCACGCGGTGGATGCACCTCGCAGGACGCGCGGGGTGCAGCCGGGCCACGATGCCCGCCCTAAAGACGAGGGAGAAGCGGGTTGTAGGGTTTTCCCCGCAGGGCCAAAGCCCCGGCTCCCAGCAGAAGGGTCTCCCTGCAACTGCCTTCCATCAGTGAATGAGTACAGGGAAGGCCAGAAGAGGCAGTGAGCTTGCCCGTTTTCTGTCTCCTTCCTCAAACCAGAGATGAATTTCTCCTTCTTGGCAAAGCAGCTTGGCACACCAGCATCCTCGTGGTGTGCTGGATGCCAGCACCATCACTGCAGTGCTTGTCCAAGATGCGCTGGGCCACAAGCAAACACAGCAACACAGGCTTACAATCCAGGTGATGCAGTGGGGGTGAGAGCTGCCGGGGGACTCACCCATTGCCAAAAGGCCCAGGAGCCACAGCTGCTGCTTCCAAAGCCCCAAGGGGAACCAGGCTGTGTGCCTCCAGACTGCAGCTCCTGGTGAGCCCAGCTTCAGGTGTCACATCACACTGTCACTGCTGCTCCACGGGGACACACGGATTACACGGCCTCCTCCCCAAAGCACAGCCCTGCATGCTGCTAAAGGTGATGACTTCACAGTGGATCTGCAAGGCCAGAAAATCACGCTTTCAGCTCCCCAGCTAAAAGCACACCCCTTTTTGACCAGCAGCTCCAAAACCTGCCCTTCAGACCTGTGTTTTTGCAAAGCATCCGCAGCGGGAATTAATCAATCAATAATTAATTAGCCCACGTGGCTTTGGATCGCCCAGAGCTCTCTGCAGGTGCAGAATTCAATGCCAGGGAGGGGAAGGGGCCAGGCCAGGCGATCGCTGTGCCGCCCGGGCTCACATAACACCAGCTGCAATGGGAGCTGCTAAGAGCTGAGCTGTCAGCACTGCAGCGCCTCGGGTGCCAGGGGGATGCACACACACACGGGCTCCACTTACAGAGGGGCTGGGATGCTCTGGGTTACTCACACAGCCTGAGCAGCACAACGCCTTCCCTCCTGCAGGTTGGTGCTGCACTCAATGCTCCAATGGCCTTCAAGTTTCCTCCAGTCCAAGCTTGCTGCTGAAACTGATCACTATCACACACTGCGAAGGATCCCAAACCATCCCAGGTTTTATTTTTTTTTCTGGGCAGGACACAATGGAGCCTTTTTATCTCTATGATCTTGGAATACAGATAGAAAACAAAGCTATCCAGAGGATCCTTTGCCCCATGGCCGCAGAGCTCTGTCATCTAATGCTTGCCCTGGAACAGGAAGACAGAATGTGTCAGACCTTACCCAACATAGAGGAGAATGCAGAAAAATTAGCCAAGGCCACTGATGAACTCGCTTCTGCTGCAAGAAGGTAACTTTGCTGGGTGGTGGGTGGTACAGATGGGATGGGGATGAGTTGAGCCCCATGGCTTTTCTTCCAGATTGGCCCAGCAGTCCAGCGACAAGGCGTACCAGGAGGAGACACATCTCACAGCCGAGTCCCTTGTGCTGGCAGGGAGGCACGTGTTGCAGGCAGCCCGCCAGCTGCAGGGACAGCCGTTCAGCCCTAGCCACAGGGAGGTGCTGGCTGCAGCAGCAAAGGGCATCCTAACTGAGACTGCAAAGGTAACGCCAGAGGGGATGGTGCTGAAGGGAGTGGTGGGGAGGATGCAGATGGAGAAGGGACAAAACGGCCCCTTAGCTGGATCGGGCTGGGGAGTACTAGTTGGGGCAATTTTGTTCAATAGAATGAGAGGGGACGGCCTCAAGTCGCACCAGGCTGTCGTTCAGGATGGGCATTAGGGACAATTCCTCCTCCCCAAGAGTAGTGAGGCAGTGGCACAGCTGCTCAGGGAGCGGTGGGGTCACCTGGAGGTGTCCTATAGCTGTGGGGATGTGGCACTGAGGGATGTGACCAGTGGCACGGTGTGCTGGGGTTGGACTGGATGATCCTGCTGGTCTCTTCTGACCTTGATAATGCTGGGATTCCCTGTGTGCTCACTAGGACGGGCCTGCTGGGCAGAACACACCTCTTTTCTCTCCAGCAGCAGATACAGTATTATTTCCAGAGGGATGCAACAGTGATGCGTAACCTTAGCCACACTGACTGTACTTTCTGCTGTGCTAGATCCTTCAGATCGAAGGTGCTGCCGGGGCAAGGAGGATAACGCAGGCTGCCAGCTGGCTGTTGGAGTGCCTGGGCACACTGCGGGATACAGGGGACGTGCCAGGGCTGCTGGCTGCTTTCCAGGACTTTTCCAAGGCTTTGCTTCTGCTGAGCAACCTGACAGCACAGCACCTCGAGGAACTCCGAGATTCTCCTCGACGGACCAGCTTGGCCCAGACTTTGCAGCTCCTTCACAAGTGCGTTCCTTTGCTCCACGAATCCAAGCACAGCCACCTTAAATGCTCCTGGGCTCAACAAGTCAACCTCTCCAAAAACGATGCTTTCCAGCTGATGGAGAGGACCATCCAAGAGCTTGTTTCCTTGCTTGTTAACAGCACAGGCAGCAAGGAGCTTCAGGACGGACACGGGACCTTCTCCCATCATGTGCAGAGGCTGCTGGCTCTCCTCAACCACCCAGACCCAGTGCACCCCTCTGACAGCGAGTTCAGCACTCATGTGGAAGCAATAGTTTTCTACTGCATGCTTCTAGCAGAGATGTGCAGGGCAGATCTGAAGCAGGATCTGGTAAAACGTTGCTATGTTCTCCTACAGCTCAGAAAAAGCATCTGCTGCCACATAAATCAGCAGGAAGGAGGGACAAGGCCAAGCTGGGGAGAAAGCAGCCTGCAGGAGAAATGTCACACCATGGGAAAGGAGGTGGAGGACCTTGACAAGGCTGTGCTCAAAGCTACTCTGCACCAAATCCTCAGCACCTTCTCCGAGGCCAAGGAGCCCTTGAGGCAGTTAGTAGAGGAAGCTCTTACCCTTGCAGGTACAGGGTGTTTTCCAGCAGGGCAGGGAGGATTACTGAAGAAGCTTCAGCCCCTCACTGCCACCTTTTTCGCACACGCCCAGCAGATGCTCAGAGTGGCAGACTTTGTCCTGGCCAGGTGCACCAAAACCCAAACTGCTAGAGAAATCCATGACTGTTTAGAGTACTTAAAGAGCCTCCTTGCCAGTCTCCCTCCAGCACTCACAGAAATGAGCAGAAACCCAACCCACATGAGCACTGCTCAGCACCTGCAATCCTTGTACCACGCGTGGGCTGGGACAACAGAAAGCCTCCTGCAGTGTTTTGAAGAGACAGTCAGCATGCATGAATTCCTGAAGCTGTCCATCCAGGAAATGGCCAAGCACAAGGAATGGTGTGACAAGGCCCTGCAAAGTCAGGACCCCGAAAGGCTCTCTAGCCATGCTACCAGCCTCACCACTTGGGCTCGGTGGGTTGCTGGAGCTGCTGCCAGGTATGTGGATAGAGCAACAGACCCCATTTTCAGGAACGGCTTGCTGGTTTGGATTGAGCAGCTGGCCACGTCCATTCTTGAGCTGAAAGCAGCCACGGCCCTTTGCACGGAGAGATGCTCCTGTCTCCAAACTAGGGATGCCTTTTCAAGGATGGCGAGCTGCCTGATGGATACTGCTCACTGCATTCAGGATGGGCTGGATGGGTCCAACCACCCAGATATCCTCAGCCCTCTCCGGGAACGAATACGGAGAGCTGACGTTGCGAAGGAGCTTGAACTCAGCTCATCCTGTGCTGGGTTAAGAAACATTATCGGTCAAGCTAAATTGCAAGGAGATGTCTTAAGTCATCCCTCTCCACAAGCAGGTAACTCACACCCAGATGTTGTTCCAAGGAAAGGAGAAATGCACCCTGTTGTTACAGCACTCCTTGCAGCTACCAGAGCCCGTGATACAGCAGCTGTGAATGCTGCCTGCTCCGCCTTGCTCCAAGTCTCTAACTGCTGTATCAATGCAGCAAAGGAAGCACTGCCTGTTGCTGCCTCTCCCCACACGGAGACACTGGGGCAGTACCAGAAGATTATCTTACTGACACCATGTGTTATTAGCTTGGCCAGGGAAGCAGCCCCAGGGCAGCTCCAGCATCAAGGCAGACTTCTCCAAACTGCACTTTCCCTCTCAGAAACCATCTGTGAGACCAAAGAGTGCCTGGCAGCCATGGCAGGCTCTTGGTACAGTCTGTCTCAACAAGTGCTTGGGTTTATCTTGGCTGCTGACTTTACGAGCAGCAAACAGGCTTTGGACGAGACCATGATGGGTTTAGTAGGAGCGGTTCAGATAGCAGAGGACATTGCAAGCATGGCCTGTGATAAGCAGAATCCCATTTGTCCTGAGGACTGGGAAAACTTTCTACAGGTCCAAGCCAAATTTTCACATGCTCAGATGAACACCAAAGTGTTACTTGAGAAAGCAATGTCCTTCCAGGGCCCCTGCAAGTTGGGAGAGGCCAGCCTGGAGCTGCGCTGTGTCCACTGGGCTATCAGCATGCATGTGCTCCTGGGTGCTGTGGATCAGTTCATAGGCAGAGACATGCTGTTCCTGAGGGAGCTAACAAGTGCCATGGACAACAGGCTTTGTTCACAGAGCCTCTTGGCTGCTGTGTCTGAGATCTCCCTGAGGATGCAGGAAGCTGCCCGGCTCTCTTACTTCACTTGCCCTGAAGACTGCGGCCGCAGTGAAATCCTCACCCTCAGGGAAGAGATAAAGGTGCTAACGGAAGCTCTGCTGGATGCCTCCAATACCCTGTTGGTCTCTCCTCTGCCTTCTGCCAGCCTGTACGTTCGCTTTGAGCTCCTGCAGAGAGACTTGGCCCTCAGGGCCAAAGCATTACTGCTCCACCTGGAGAAGGCCAACACCAAACACCTACAAGTCATCCGAGATGTGGTAGGACCAGCCTTGTCTTTCTTCCCCGAAGAGTGCAGGGAGGTGAGCCAAAAAGCTTTTAAAGAGAAAGCGGGTCAGCTATTGGCCAACATTCAGTGGGTCAGAGCCACCCTCCAACGTGTCCTGGAGACAACCGCTCAACTGCAGTCACGGGCAGACCTGCTCTCTGTTGCAGACCACCTCCTGGTCCTCACAGCTGATGCAGTGGACAGTGCCAGCCAGCTCTTCCAAAGCCACCAGGACAAAAGGCACCTCCACCTAGACAGCATTGTCTGGTACTGGTCAGCTAAAGCACACTACCTCGCCACGCAGCTTCAGGCCGTCCGTGGCATCAACGGACACATCCTGGAACTCATGAGACAGCACCTGCAAAACGTGGGGGACCAGTGCTCTCCAAAAGAGTGCAGCAGCACAGCCCAGCTCTCCCCAGCCCGAGAGCTCGAGGCTCTGAGGCCCACCAAATCAGCAGAAACTGGCCTGAGCAGGAGTGGACAAGCAAGCAGAGCTGTCAGAGAGGCACACGAAATGGTACGGTAATTTTTTCCAATTTCTTTGTTAGATCAAGCTGCTGGGTGCCCCATGCAACTGGGCTCTGGGTATCTGACCTGATAGAGACCTTTGCACAAATAAATCCATCTCCAAAACACTGTTCCTAAGGAGCAGGGAACTGTACTGCCCTTCCTTTCCCTGAAATGCTCTTTCTGCTCAGCTCCTCACCTCTCAGTGAGCTTTCCTCAGGAGTAGCAGCAGCCCTGCTCCCACAATTGCTGCCAGGTGCCAGGAGCTGGCAAAGGCTTTAGCAACATGATCCAAATCACTCTGCAGAGCAGTTTAAGAGTATTTCATTGCACTTCTCAACTATGGGCACTGCCATCTTACGCTACAGTTACCTCCCATTTGGAGATAGCTCCAGACAATGGCATGGGGCATTTGGACTTCAGAATGCCATTGTGGGTGAAGACAGAAGAGAAATAAACCTGTTCAGGAAGGCAGAGTAGGCTCAGCAAGGTTACAGACAGCCATCCCACCTCTTTACTCACCAAAAACTGCTTCAGAAACACGCAGGCAGGAACTTCTCAATACTGACACGATCTGATGCTCTAGACTTTTATCTGTTCCGTTGTTGTCTCGACAGCAAGGGAACGGTCCTCTCAGTACCTTCTTTGGAAGCAGCCCTGGGAAGCAAGAGAGAGAAGACAGTGAGAGAATGCAGGGAGATGCCAGCAGGATGTCCCAGATGACCAAGGACATGGCAGTAAGGATGCTTCACATGACTCAGTTCCTGAGGAAGAAGGGCCCCATCACGGTATGGAGTTTCTCATCCCCTCCACCCCATCACTTTTGTAGCTATAAAGATAGATGCCTTCTAGAGAAAATACCCAAGTGCCCACTGCCTGCTGAAAAACCCGTGTTATCCCATCCTACTGAAAGTGGCACTGGTGCATTTGCCCCAGTAATTTCAGGAATTACTTTCCTGAAAGGAGATGCAAGTCTCGTGACTGGTCCATTCCTCATTTCAGAATACACCTGGCCTTTCTGGATGCTCCCATTTACAGGAACAATGTTTGTTTTCCTCCTCCCCATCACATTTGCATTTTGTTTTAGAGCAAGGAGCAGCTTGTTGCCTGTGCTAGGCAAATAGCTTCTGATGGGCAGGCATTTGTTACATTCGGCCGCATCGTTGCAAAGATGTGCCTGGACAAGAGATGTTCTGCAGAGCTGCTGCGTGCCGCAGAGCAGACTCACACCATCAGCAGCCAGCTCACCATCGTGGCCAGGTGAGTTGCTGCTAACAAGGAGTCTCCCCGAGGCTCAAAGTGGCACAGCGGTCTTCAGAGGTCTGTGTGGGATCTGGGCGCAGCGCTTAGCGCTCAGTTGCAGTTCAGCAGGCTCTTCTCTTTCTGCTGCTGCCAGCAGCACTTTTCTCCCATTTGCCTGCCTCATTTCTCCTGGAAACCTACAGCAGTGCAGGGCGCACTGCCTCTGGCTTTGGACTACCTGGTGGCAGAGAGCTGCACGCTTCCATGCTCTTCCAGTAAAATATCTCAACGTGTCTTTAAGGGTAAAAGCAGTCACTGCTGAGAGCAAGTCCTCTTCTGAGCTGCTCGTGAGCAACGCGCAGAACCTAATTCAAGCAGTTTTACATGTTCTGAAGGCAACCGAGGCAGCGTGCATCAAAGTAAGTTAATGCTGATAACGATGAATAGGTTCTGTAAGGTGAGCTTTGCTATGGGGAGCTCCTCCAGTCTCATCTGGTGGTGGAGATGCAGAAGCTGGCTGCTGCGGGACCTCTGGCAGCAATAGCAGGGGTCAAGACTCCTACTGCTACGTTTCTGTTTTATGCCTTTCTGTTTTGTTTCCAGAGCCTCCTCTGCATTTTTTCCAGGCATTGAATCTGCTCTATCACTGCTACCAGCTTTTAAGGCATGTTTAGCTGGTCTGTTTCCCATTTCATATTTGGAGAGTGACAGCACTTCATTGGAGGCCTTTATTTGGAAATAGTCCATGTCAGTCTTAGCCTTCATGTTGTCTCTAGGTGGGCTTTGATCACAACTCCCAAGAGCTTGCCTTGCAGCTGCCAGCAACGGCTGACTGATCCAATTGTAAATAGTTTGTGAGAGCAGACTTGATGCGAAAGCACTTCAAAACCAAGCACAAATACAACGGCACTCTGCGCCGGTGCAGTTTTTCATTGCGTGCCTTCATCTCCTACACAGCCCTACAACCTCTGCTGAGCTCCGTGTCTTTTTGACAGAGTTCTGATTAGAATCTTGGTTGGTGGACAATCAGCAAAAAGCACAGGAAAGCTCCTCCTGTACGTCATTATGCTGCTTAAAGCGTACAGTCTGGGTTATCTGCTGGCAGTGCAATGCAGCAAGCCATTCTTTTATCTCGACTGCCCAGATTACAGAGTCCTTTACGGCCCAGCTGCTCCCCTTTCAAAATGTACGGGCCCACTTACCAATAAGCTGATGAGGCAGCCTTATTTTTCTCTCTCTGTAAGCAGGTTTTTCAGCATTTGAAGAATTTTGTAAGCATTAACTAACAGAAACATCACATCACTCGTACAGACGTCATGACGTTCTGACATATAGAGTCTTTCCTAATGTATTTGAGCACATAAATATTTGTCTCCTTCCAACAGGGCTTGCGACAGCCTGCTCCTGACTCTGAAGAAGCAGCAGCAGCTGCTTTTTGCATCGAGTGGAGGACAAACCTGTTGTGGCACAGAGCCGAGCAACGCTTAAACTCAGACAGGGATGAATTAGGCCTCCGCAAGACTCAGGCGAGGGCTGAGCCCACGCTCACAGCCATGGAGCAAGGACGGTCACCTCCGAGCGGCGGCACCCCCAGGTGTCCCAAATCTATTAAAGGACTATGTCCAACTATGGGCAGCCACCTCTAGCAACAGGCAGGCATTGCTCTGCTGCTGACGAGCTGCCCAACCTTGCAGATGTGAGACAGCTGGGGCTCTGCAGCAGCAAGGCTTCTGAAATGCTGATGAATGGAAGACGCCGTTTCATGAGGTCCCTTCAGTGCATCAAGAAGTGCCAGTTTTTGTGCTCTCCAGATGCAAGCAGGAGGATGCAGGAACACGCTTGTAGCAGCAGCAGCAGCAAACGTGGCTGGTAGGATCAGAGTGTCGCTCATCTGTACCAGAAAGCCTCAGAGCTGGGAGGTCTTTCTCAGGGCCCTATCACACCCCTCTTCATCCAGCAGTATTGCACGATGCTAACAGACACCAGCCCACCAAGGGGAGCTGCAGGATATTCTCAGCAACCATCACCTTTTCTTCAACAGTAACACAACCCACGGTACTACAAAACCCTGAGCAAAGAACTGAATGAGGACGACTAAGGAACGTGGCCGCTGACTTCTGAAATGCAAAGGAGGCCTGTGATTAAATGTTCTGCACTTTGCAATAATAAATTCACTTTTATCGTGAAGGATTCATATTCTTTCCCTTGGGGCAGAAAAATATTTAAGCAGGCTACATATGGAAGCTAAAAACTTCATTAATAGTCTTCTTATCATGGGGCAGCAACAGCAGGTGCTGATCTAGGAATGCTCGTCTTCCTGAATTGCAGAGATCATTTTTCACTAGTCCAGGGCCACAGGAGCATTTTGTCACATCACCATCACAGTAAAACATTCAGTGCTGATGCTCACCCACCTTGCAACTCTAATGGCATCTGGGACATCCAGGACCTGCTGCTCCTGTTGCTGCTCTTCACAGCCTCAGAAATGAGTTGAAAGCGCTCAAGGGAAACGCCGCTCTGTGCTGGAGGAAGAGATGGAAGCAAGTGCTTTCCCTGCAAAAGACACAATCATTTCTCACAGCACGTCTGAGCTCAGTGTGGCAGGACTGTCCCCAACACCTTCCTGCCCCTCTGCTGGGCTCAGACACCCCCCACACCTTCCCCTTGGCTTACAGGGTAGGTCAGTACTTGCACGGTAGCAATGAATCCTCTCCACGTTTCAAGAGGGAGCAGTAGCAGCAGGCACACCAGAGCCTCGAGCTCAAGGAAGAAACCTGCAACAAACAAAACAAGCACGGGCAGAGGAGAGGAAGCAGCCCACGGACACTTGCACTGCAGCTGGGGATGCCCTCGCAGAGCTGCTGGCCAGGCCCAGATGAATCGTGGATGGATGGAAGGAGAAAGGTTTCACATGGAGACAGTAAGTTGCAAGGACAAGCCAGCCCCTCTCAGATGACATGTTCTCCTTACCTTGTCCTCCTTCTCGCCCCAAAGAAGCCCCACATGACATTAAAGGCACCAACACAGCAGTCCATCTCCTGGGTTTGGAACCAGCATTCCGGGTCCCCTTACCAAAACACAACCCATTTTCATCTGCAACTCCCAAAGGGATCCACACCCGGACCAACAGCAAACCACCTGAGATCCTCCAACTATCTCAACTGCAAGGCACAACATTTTGCCCCCGCTATCAGCACGTTTCCTTCGACCCTCATTTTCCCAAACGCTGAAACCAAGTCAGAGTTCAATTTGATGACGGTATCTTCACTGCTCTGAAACCACCACTGCCTTCAACAACACCGAATTTGCAGCACCATCACATCCCACTCACCAGCCCTACCCAGCCAACACGCAGAGAGCAAGAGGACAAGGTCCACCAAGGAAGAGGCTTAATGCAAAGAGACATCCCAAGTGGGTGGGAACCAGATAGCAATTGAGCAGACTGCAAAATTTTATTTTCAATGTAGCTAGCTAGGAATAACTACATTTCCTCTATATAAAAAGCAACCCAAAAGGCAAAACAAGAGAGGCTTTGAGGACAGTTGTGCTCTCGGCATGCAACATCTTTGAAAATGAAAGAACATGCACGACATTTCTCGTATCGGTGATGAGAATCGTAGTCAGGGGACAATGCAGAAGTCTGATCTCGGGACCACTCAGCCAGCAAACTCCATCTGGATTCAACACGAGGTCAGCTTAAAAACCCACCACCGTCCGACTGGCGAGTGGTGCAAAGCCAGGCTTCGTCCCTCGTGTCCTTCTCACACCCTCTCTGCTGTTCCTCCAAGCCTGAGCTAGCTGGCAGCACGTCAACACCACAGTCACTACCAGACTTTAACTGTACCCTTTTTAATTTTTTTGTTAAAAATGTTGTAAAGACACAATGAATACAAGTACTGCAGTTACATCGATACAAAAAAAGCAATACAAATTAAGCGGCTGAATACAAAAATACATTGAAATACATGAACACCACAATGTAACTTAGAGCACTAATCAGAATTGTGTATGTGTGAAAAAATTAAATAAAAACCTTTTTTTTTTTGTATTAGACAACTTAGGTATTCTCCACTTTTAACAGTAACTTTCTTCTAGTTATGTACTTCACAATTTCTTCTATATACAGCATAGAATAAAATACTTTTAAAAGATATGACATTTTTACTCCTCAATATGTGATATAGGTCTCTTTTACACTAAGAATATGGACTGCGTGAATAAAAACCAATGTCTGACGTTGACTGGTCGGAAAAGGAGGATCAGCATGTTCCTTTCAGATCATTCCTGTGTACTCAGGTTAGTCGGTTTGGCTTGATGCGTCGGACAATCCTTGTCAAACAGTGTCTCTCACAGTAATGTACATAATATTGCTTGTATCTATACAATCATACAAATGTGGCAATCATATCTAAATGTTGTTTATGAAAGAGACAGCTCACACATATACAGGTCTTCAGACTTTCTTAATGACTTATTTACAATGAAAGTGCTTTTATCAGCTCTAACACGATACATGTTGTTTGTTTGTTTGTTTCCTACATGTCAATTATTAGTCTCCCTGAAATTGGAAAAGTATTATATAGAAAATACCACAGCTTTGCAAACACTATAGCGTACTGTATAACTGCATGTGGTTCTGAGATTAGCAGCTGAAAAGTGTTGATAATTATAATTTAAAAATAAATAAAGCAAAGAGGTAAACCAGTTACAAAACAGCAGAAAACTGCAATATTCACAACAGTAAAAAGACTTAAAATCAATCGCTAACAAAACGGTGAAGCGGTCGGGTCGAAAGTCTTGAAAACATCTTTTAAGGACTTATCATCCGACTCCCCGTTGGGATCGTTATCCTGCGCCTGAGCCACCTGTCCAGGCTGCCTCACCTGCCTCGGATCGCTGTACTGCGGTCTGATCAGCCCCGACAGAGCCTGGATAGGAAGATTGTGCACCGCGGGCGCAGCGCTGGAGTGTTTAGCCTGAGATTTGCTGTTGCTGTTTGCTTTATCCGAAGCGGCCTCCGCCGACGCTTCGGGGGTCTTTTCGACGCTGGAGGCAGGCTTGGGCAGCGACACGTCTTCCGACAGGCCGGGTTCGCTTTTAGCAGAATTCTTCAGAATGCTTTTCTTCTGGTTCTCTCCGTTCTCCCCGGCGCCGGCCGGAGCCGCGTCCGACGACGCGCTGTGATCCCGGGGATCATACAAACTGATGCCGCTCAGCAAGGAGCCCGAAGTCCCCAGCCTGACGCCGCTCGCCGCCAGCTTGGGCGCGTAGGGAGGCAGGGCGTCCGGCTCAGCTTTAGCAGCGGCGGCTTCCGAGGGCTGTGAGGAAGCGGCAGCGGATCTGGCGAGGCGGGGGTCAAACTTTGAAGGGTGCGACTCCTTTGCGACTCCATGATACGTATCTGCGTTAGACAGTCTGTGGAGCCGGGGGTCGACGTTCTTTTGTAATCGAGGATCTCCCAGCTTGCTGGAGCTACTGGCGTGAGAATCCACAGACTGATCCAAGTAGCCACTCCTGCCCACTAAGTTATTTTTCGCTTTCGCGGCTAGTCTCGGGTCAGCTGGCATGGCGTTTGGGTGGGGATCGTTTTTCAGGTTCCTCAGTTTATTGAGCCTCTGGTCAGCTATGAGTGGAGGAAGAGGTAAATTAATTGAAGAGACGGGGTCGGGCTTAGGCAAAGGTATTGGCAGCAAGTCTTCGGGCGCCCACACAATATGCTTAGCGAAGTTTGGTTTCATCAGGGTAACATCCATTTTAATGTGGCTGAACTGCCTAAGCTGAGATCGGGGATCCCTTAATGTTACACCGGGCAAAGGCTCCAAGGGAATCAGAAAAGCTCGTTCCCTCAGTTCTCTTTCTGAATCCTCTTCATCATCATCCATCCCTTTCTGCTTGACTTTCACGCCCGTGTGAGGGTGGTGTAAATCTAACTTGGCTCCCACAAGAGACGAGCTGGCGTGACCTCCGTCGCT